AAAATAATAATAATAATAATAATGTCCATCTCCCAGAACTCTGGAGAGGGTTAGAAACTATGGCTTCTGGCTGGGCGCAATGGTTCATGCCTATAATCCCAGCACTTTGGGAGGCTGAGGCAGGCAGACTGCTTGAGCTCAGGGCTTCAAGACCAGCCTGGACAACATGGCAAAACCCGTCTCTACCAAAAAATACAAAAAATGAGCCAGGCTTGGTGGCGCACGCCTGTGGTCTCAGCTGCATGGGGAGCTGAGGTGGGAGGATTGCTTGAGCCTGGGAGCTCCAGGCTGCAGTGGGCTTTGTTTGTGCCACTGCACTCCAGCCTGGGAGAAAAAGTGAGACCCTGTCTCCAAAAACAAAAAAGAAAGGATGGCTCCCAAGCCCAAGGTTCCTGGCCACGGCACCCACTGTACCCTTGAGAAGTGGGACCAGCAGTCCGAGCCATGTGGCAGGTGGGGTGGTCTCTAGGTGCCTGTCCTGCGGGGCTGGCCAGCCCCCTTCTCTGAGCTTCTGCACCTCTGCCACTCACTCTCAGGCCCCGGGAGACAGGGAGGATACCCACTTTACAGAGGAGGAAACCGGGGCCTAGAGAGGGAGAGACAGTCTATGTTCAAAGATGGTGGCTGGAACCAGCTCAGAGGCCTCCAGGTGGGGGGCGGTCCCAGCGGTAGGACCCTGCTTGGTGGGCTGGGGGTGAAGGGGGGGCAGGATAGGCCTCAGGAGCTGCCCCGGTTGGAGGCCTCTGAGCACCCTCCTGCGCATGACTCAGGCACAAGAGCAAGAAGAAAGCCTTCACCAAGGCCTGCAAGAGGTGGCGGGACACAGACGGCAAAAAGCAGCTACAGAAAGACTTCGCCGCCATGAAGAAGTACTGCAAGGTCATTCGGGTCATTGTCCACACGCAGGTCAGCCCCTGACCCTCCGCTGTCGGCCAGTCCCTAAGCCCATGCTCCCTCACCCCAGCTTCCAGGAGCCGTGGCAAATGTCAGCCTAAAAATACCTGAGCCTTGGCACAGGCCCAGAGGAGCGGCTGACCAGCCTCACTGGCCACATGTGGCCCCAGGGATGGCTGCTGAAAGGCGTCGGTGCCATCTGGGGTGCTGGAGGCATCAGCCACACCAGCTACTCAACTAGGACCCTGGCACGCCCTGAAGGGCCGGGTCCCCAGCCAGGTGTGCAGTGTGGGGGGCCGGTCACCTCCCTTCGGTTTCCAGCTTAAGTGTGCACAGGAATAGGTGTTTGTACGTGGGTCAGGCTTGCTGTAGGCTGACAGGCAGGCGGCACCCTCCAGCTTATTCTGGAACACTCTTTGGCGTCTTTGTCCTCAGGGAAGGCTTCCCTAGGCCCTAAAGCAGTGCCCCTGACCCTGAGCTTCCCACAGCCCCCTGAACCCACACTGCCCCCAGCTACTCACACACATGCAGGCCATGCCTGGGCCAGTCATTGGCGCATGTTCATCTCCCTGGACAGACTCCAGATGGGCAGAGGCCCTGGACGGGGCCACAGCTGCCACCTAGAGCCTGGTATGCAGGAGGTACTCTGTAAATACCTGCTCCATACAGACCTACTCCATACACACCTGCCCCGGACATACCTACTCTGTACACACCTGTGGGTCACCATGTGGTCCCCGCTGGCCTCTCAGTCTCCACCTCTACATCACACAGCCTGTGCTTCACACAGCACCCGCCAGAGACCTTACAAAAAAAAAAAAAAATCAAGCCAGGCACAGTGGATCATGCCTGTAACCCCAGCACTTTGGGAGGCCAAGGCAGGCAGATCACCTGAGGTCAGAAGTTCGAGACCAGCCTGGCCAACATGGCAAAACCCCACCTCTAGTAAAAATACAAACAAAGTAGCTGGGCATGGTGGGCGACTGTAATCCCAGCTACTTGGGAGACTAAGGCAGGAGAATCACTTGAAACTGGGAGGTGGAGGTTGCAGTGAGCTGAGATCCCACCACGGCACTCCAGCCCGGGTGATAGAGTCTCAGAAAAAAACCCAAAAAACAAGAAAACAAAAATCAGGCCTGGTGGCTCACACCTGTGATCCCAGCACTGTGGGAGGCCAAGATGGCAGCCCAGGCAACCGAATGAGACCTTGTGTCTAGAAAAAATTTAAACATTAGCTGCGCATAGTGGTGCATGCCTGTAGTTCCAACTACTTGGAGAGGGGTGCTGAGGCAGGAGGATTGCTTCAGCCCAGGACTTTGAGACCAGCCTTGGCAACATAGGGAGATCCCCATCTCTACAAAAAAAAAAAAAAAGTCCAGTCATGGTGGCTCAAGCCTGTAATTCCAGCACTTTGGGAGTCTGAGGTAGACAGATCACGAGGTCAGGAGATTGAGACCATCCTGGCTAACGTGGTAAAACCCCGTCTCTACTAAAAATATAAAAAATTAGCCAGGTGTGGTGGCGGGCGCCTGTAGTCCCAGCTACTCGGGAGGCTGAGGCAGGAGAATGGCGTGAACCCAGAAGGCAGAGCTTGCAGTGAGCTGAGATTCGGCCACCGCACTCCAGCCTGGGCAACAGAGCGAGACTCTGTCTCAAAAAAATAAAAATAATAAAAATAAAAACAAAAAAAAAATAAATAATGGCCGGGCGCGGTGGCTCAAGCCTGTAATCTCAGCACTTTGGGAGGCCGAGACGGGTGGATCACGAAGTCAGGAGATCGAGACCATCCTGGCTAACACGGTGAAACCCCGTCTCTACTAAAAA